ATTTCATTTCCCCCTAGCCCAAGACCCAGAAATGCTTCCCAATAAAATAACCGCAAAGACAAATCAAAACAAAAAGCCATCTGATCGTCTCTATCCAGGAGCAGATGCTGACAAACTCAATTCAGAAAGTGTCCGTTGAAGGGGAACCAGCTACACTGATTCAAAAACCAGGTCTGAATCCAGGCTGCTCCTGGCCAGCCACAGGCAACAGCATGTGCAGCTGAGGTGAGACAGCTGCCGAGAGCAGAGTGTCTTCTGTCTGACAAGGGTTGCCCCATGCTCAAAACTTCATCTTTAGAGAGGAACAAACAGTGGGTGAAGGAAGGAGACTGGGGGAGGAGTGTTCTTGAGTTGGCCTCAGCATGTTAATCAGTTTTAAATCTGCCACCTAAGAACTAACACTCAGAGTCCAGAGGGGGAGGGCAAAGGCAGGGCAGGCCTGTTGTTTCCCAGAGCCGCAGGTTGGACTCTGAGGACAAAAGGCACTGATCTCACTGCTCTGGGAGCTCAGACACAGGCAGGACCCACCCGAGCACAACCGTTTCAGTCACAGCCTAGTGACAGGCAGCCTCCTATAAAGACTGTGCAGTCAGCCCCTCTCCCCCACGCTCCCCTATCCCACACCTCCCCCTGGACAGAAAACATGTGCTCTGCTGGTTTTCTAATAATGGGACACAGTTGGCTACACAATTTGGAGCAAAAAAAGCTTTGACCTTAAATCCCAGCTCCTTCACTTAAAAGCAGTGTGGCCTGAAGTAACCTGCTGGATGTGCCTGTGCCTCGGTTTCCTCTTCAGTTAACTGGGGACACCATTACCTGCTTATTAGAGCTGTGAGGATAAATGAGTTCTGGGTGGAGGCCTTCAGTGAAGTGCCCAGCACAAGTTCGTTATATGTTAGCTGACCCCCCACCCCCAATCCCCAAAGATTGCTACCACTCCATTCCAATCCCAGTCCTTGAAAGAGCCAGGACAGCACCTTCTGGAAGTCTGGCTGGGTTACCCATGCCATCTGTGGCCAAGCATGAAGCAAAGCCAACTGACCCCTAAAGGGTTCAATCCCATGATCCTGATCTCAACGGCGCAGCTCCAACCAACTGAGCTAATTATGGTAGAGTCAGATTCTGCTCAGCTAGTGCAGGGACACGCTCAGCAGTTCATACAACAACCTTAAACAGTGTTGTCCCAAGAAGCTATGTGACACAACACACTTGCCAACTTAACTAATGATCTCATCTTTTAAAAATCTTAATGTAATGTAGCAAACAGATGTGTCCCGTAAGAGGATTAAGGTGGAAATTCATTAGAGCGGTAATACCAGTGGATTTGTGTTCTAAAACCAACACCGGTCAATCAACTTAGTGCACGCTCTGTCTTAGCCTCCAGGGGAATACTGGAGCACTGGACAGCCAGGACTCACCCTCGAGGAAGCGATTTGTGAAGCGGAGTGATGGTGAGAAGTCCCTTGTACCAAAGCCTGACCTAAATGACCTCTAGTCCACATGGCTTGCAGTATGCAGGGGAGTCACCAAGGCATCCTGAGGAAATGTATATTCTAATTCCACAGATCTGGGGAAGCTGGAGTGCATTTCTAATAAAAGCCCAGGTGACATCCAGACCACACTTGCAGGGCCAAGGACCTAATCCTCACTGCAACTGGCAATTTTACCGGTAGGGTGCTGTGGCAGCAAGGTAGTCACAAAGACAAAGGTGGTAAGAAGGGAAAGAACACAGCCCGGTGGAGGCTAATCCAGCCAGAGGATGGCACTCTGAACTGCCGGTGGGCTACTTGGAAGGAAGACATTCAAGACACAAAAATGGAGTCTTTAAAAACTCAGATCTGGTGTCAAATGCCAACTCTGGAACTTCTTGCCCACGTGAGCAAGTGACTTCCTTCTGTTCTGGGTCTCTCCCACTTGAGAGACAACAGCTTAAGTACCCAGCCCCGAACAGCTCAGTGAGAATACGGCATCTGTCCTGACCTGTCATCCAACTCATCATTTATTTAATCATCTTCCCTGAACTTCTATGAAAAGTTAGGGTTTTTTCAACCTAACAGTTGAAAGAACTAAAAAGAAAGATAAGGCATAGTAGCACCATATGTTATTTTCCTCGAAGACAATACTTTGGTTAAATGAACAATTAACTACTAAAGGAGTCAGCAGGCATGAGCTAAATTAATATATCACCACACTGAGCAAAGATGCACAGACCCAATTTTTTACTAGAAATGACCTGAGAGGTTACCCGATTCAAAGGCTGTGAGCACAGGAGGACCTTTAGGGGACCTTTACAAATTAGGGCCCTCCACAGGGGGCCACCTGGAGGCCAGTTGCACAGGGGTGCTCACAGTGGCATTCACCCAGCTGCTCACTGACTCCCAGCTCCCTTGTCTGTGTTTTCCTTCAAGCAGAGGCTTGCTCCCCCAGGGACTTGAATGAGCCAGAAGGCTGAGACCAGAGTTTACATGTTCCACAAATGCTTTTCTCCCCCTCTCTCCACCATGAAGGATGCCCCCTGGACTCCCCCTCCTCCTGGGCCGGGACTCAATGGGCCCTGGCAGAAGCATTCCCTGTGGCTGCAGAGGCTTTTCCCATGGCAGGGGTGTGGGATGACAGCTTGCACACTCCCTCGGTAGCAGTTCACAGCAGAGTTCATAGCCATGTGTTCCCACCTCTGACTATGAAAGCTCCTAGGCCAGGAATCCTGCCTCAAGGCTCTTACTCATTCTTTCACCTGCCCCAGGCGAAAAGGTACTTGGCACATATAGGTGATTTGGTGAACTGCCCAAGTTAATGGGAGAGAAGCCCCAGGAGGTGTGGGTTCTTCTCACCACCACAGGACTGGTCTAGGGAGCAGAGCTACACTGGGGTTTCCAGTCACATCAGTCTGCTTTGAATCTCAGGTTTCCATTTCTAGAGAGAAACTAGGTAACTTACTCTCTGCCTTGGTTTCCTCACCTGTAAAACAGAGATAATAAAATTCTCCTCTTCACAGTGTAATATTAGCCCAGATCACTCACTGACATCCCTGGTAGAGCACACACCTATGAGCCAAACTCACATCCAAACTCACTAGCTCTTCTATCACCGGTAGGTCATCTGTGTTTTAAGATATCCTAATGGAAATTAACCAGTACCTAAAAATACAAACATGCCCTTGGCACCTAAATGCCCTGAGATCTGCTGTACAGACCCTGGCGGATGGAATGAGCCCCTCACTCAACACTAGATGTGAAAAGCAATGCCAAACCTCTGAATACACTTCAGGGATCATTGGGCAAAAGATTCTGAGACGGAGATTGGCTGACCCCAAGACAAAGGGCTGAGGGTCTCTGTGGAGGGGTATCTTCTGGTTCTGGTTATTCCACAAGGGCCGCCTCAGAGTCTGTGAGCCAACACGACTGTACTGTGGCTTCAGTTTGGGGAAGAAGAGGCAGGAGTGCTGAGGCATTGGAATTTCCTCCTACCAGACCAGGAACACTGGATCAAAACTCTGAGACCATTCCATGGAAACAAACAAAAAAAAATGTATATCAGCCTCCAGCTTGAAAGGTCAATTCCTGCATATACAGCTTAAGAGCCAAGGAAACCACTTCAAGGTCACAGGGCCACAATTACAAGTCTTGATGCTGAAGAAGCCCTTCAGAAACTGTCAACTGAAACCACTGATTGAAAAGATCCAAATAATGTACAAAATTGATTCTGATACGCTGAATCCACAATATATCATCCACTTGCCAGTCCAACCCACTACTAGGGCAAGAGATTCCCTCCAACAGAGACTGCATTGGTCCTGCACCAACAGGGAGAAAATGAGGTAGAACAGCCCCATTCCTGAAAGCAGGTTACTAATTAAGTAGGGGGAGCACTGATACAGTACTAATAGAGGAAGAAAAAAATCACTGCCAAAGTTCACTCCTTTCCACATACAACCTCATTCCCATCCCCTCAGTTTTCCAAGGCAGGTGAACATCATACAGAAACCTAAAGAATATCTGGATCAAATTTGTTCTTGCTGGCATCAAGGGTTATCTGATCCAAAACGCCAAGTTCTGAAATGAACCCTAGGCAAAAAAAAAGTACCGAGGAAGTAATTATTCAAGATGCAGTGTGTTAAAGCCGGAGGAAGGGTGCTCCTGCATAACTCAACGGTTAGCATTTTAAAGCCTAGCTCTTTGCAATGCACTTTGCAAGATGCCTGTACTCCTGCAAAGGGTTAAAAAGGAGAAGGGTTAAAAAAGAAAAAAAAAAAAAAAAGAACTATCGGGTGGACTGAGAAGCCATTCTTCCCAGGGGACACTTCATTTCGGGCTTGGAGGCTCAGGCTTTGTGAGCGCGCCGCCCCTCTGCGCCCCCGCCCCTCCTCCCACAGAGACTGCCCCTCCAAGGTTCCCAAGGCCACCTGCTTCTTCTCGAAAGAAAAAGAGGCAGCTCTGAGCGCTATTGCAGTGCGCCGTCGGCGTCCTCCGCGGTGCCCCGCGGGGGAGGAGGGAGAGGTATCCCCGGGAAGCGTGCTTTGTAGCGAGGGTCGCGCGGTCGCCTGCAACGGCCCCGGAGGCCCGAGAGGTTTTCCCCCGGCGTTGCTCAGGGCTCTCCTCCGAGGGACCTGTATCCCGGGGTGTCGGGGTTCTTCCCAAGCCTCGCTCGGTGCCAGCCAGGGTTGGAGAGGACAGATAGTCGGTTTCCGAACCCCTCCCCGCCCACCCCGCGGAGCTAACGGCGCGGCGCCGGGGAACCTTCTCCATCCCGCCTCGGGCAGAAGGCGGCACCTGCTCGGCCGCACCCGTACCCCGCTCTGGGCCCTAGATCTGGGCAGTCCTTCTCGCCGGTCCGGAGACCCCGGCTTGGCAGCCGAGTGACGGGGACCCCTCTGCCTAATGCGGAGGGGGGGTCTGCCCTTGGGCGCTGTCCCCCGGGGCAGCGCCCAGCCCTGCCAGCCCACGGTGCCCCCACCCGGAGCTCCCCGCAGCAGGGGCTGCGTCCAAGGGGCCGGGCCGTACCTTGTGCGGCGCCCGCAGCAGCCGGTGGACCCCGGCCAGCTGGGTGCCGAGCGCGAGGTCCTCGCGGAACGTGAACAGCGGCGGCCGGCTGGGCTCCGGGAAGTTGGTGCTGTTGAAAGGGTCCGTGTCGTCCAAGAACTGCACCCGGCAAGCCAGCGTGGCCATGATGCATCCCTGCCGCGGGGGGCACGGGCCCCGGGATCAGCGGGGCCGCGGGCGGGGACGCCGGG